AAAACACTTGAAATAATCCCCTCTTACTTCCACGCGTTCATAAAGAAAAGTAAAACTTATTTTTCGTAATCCATAAATTATAAAATTTGAGTTTTATTCTGACGAATATCTAAATATTTAACTAAAATATCCTCAGTAATAAATAATGAGGCTTCATGTAACATTACCCATTTAAATTGTTCCGTCAAGACTTGATTGAAGCAATTTAAAGGTTATCTGAACATTCATTTTATTTGGTACGTGGATCTTAATAGAGGATAGGTTCAATTTATTGTTAATCCCGGCGGATTTGATTAAATTGGGGCCGTCACTGCTTATAAAAGGTCAACAAGTCTTCACATTGCTCAATAAAAACGGGTAGCAAGGTGAAAATTAAGGATTTTTATTTGGGATCAACTGGATTTGGTTCTCAGATTGTAACTAGTCTGAAATGTATCACAGATGTTTGGGATACCATTATTTTAATATATTTTTATATATATCGCGTCTTCTGTCGCGTGACTATTTGTTACCCCTTATTTTACCCCCATCTTTTTACAACGTTTTGTCAAAGTCAAAGTAGTAGTGAAGTGGTTCGTTTTGTCAAAGTTGGCAGAGATCGCAAATCGCGATAAGGCTGCACATTGTAAATTTTGTTTTTACTTTCTTTGTTTCATTTCTTAAACTAACATTATGTTATTATTATACAGGTAAATTAGCTTGGAGAAATTTTTGCGTTTGTAGTAGTGTATGGTTGTGCGTGTTTCCACTTTCCACTACCAAGTGACGATTTTTTGCTTTAGATTGAAATATTTCGGAAACGGTGCGTCCTAGGCCAAAAATAACAAAAATTTTGACCCCCCGGTAGACCCCCCGGAGTTTTAAAAACCTAGATGAAAGGAAAAAAAAAAATTAAATATCGGTCTCTCCTCTTTGAAGTTTCACTTCTATCGTGTGTGAATCGCACACACACCTTTTTTTTTTATAAAGTCAAAACCTTTTTCTTTAAAATAAAAACTTGTTTTTATTGAAAACAAAAATCAGTGTTGCTAGGGATAAGTATAAAATTAAATAGTAATGTTAGGATATCGAAACATTTTTGTATAGGCCAGAACGATATAGTGGAAACGCGCTCTAAGATCTGAGTAATATACACACCACTACATATGCAAAAAATTCTCGAGACTAATTTCACTGTACTGTATTATTAACAAACTAACATCTCAAATCAAATCATTTGTATTTTTATTATGCTTTTATTGTAGAAAAAAGAGTTATCTATCAAAGATCTACAGTTAAATGTTAAAATGCTCACATAGCTTGAAATCAAAATATTATCAAACTCATTGTTGTGGTAAAGCAGTCCACATGGCTAACTACTGAATCCAATAATAAAATCCTTGTGCAGGCTCTTCTCAGGTGAATAGCTTCGAAACTTCTTATTCGATTATCGAACTAAGGAATTGCAACAACTAGTATTCCAACAGCATCTAAGTTATACGGATAGAAGCGAAAACTACTTTGCCTCTATTTCGTTCGTCTGTTCAAAGTTAGATTTTAATATCCTTTGAACGGCTAAGTTGTAGACTTGATCAATTTAAGTATGTTTAGTTAATTTTAGGTATCCTGACAGCTATAAAATTCATCATCATCAATCATCAACAGCCTATAATAGTCAACTGCTGGATATAGGCCTCTCCTTAGAAAGGAGGTTTTGGCCTACTATACATCGCTGGCCAGACGGGTTGGTATAGGGTTTGTTTCAAGTTTTCCTTCTTTTTGCAGTGCTGTTGTCCTGTGCAGTTTGGTCCCTTAGTTGGCTCTTACGACACCCACGGGATGAATAGGTGTGGTGACATTCCGTATTCTTAATCCGTCACCACACGGAAAACACTATAAAATTAGTCAGTCAATAAAATAACTTAAACTAAAAAAAACATTAAGTTCTATTTTAACGTATATATTTTATAATTATCACATTAATATTAAAAGTGACATTAGGCAATTCCAAAGTATGCTTTGGAATTGCCTAATGTCACTTTTAATATTAGCATCACTCAACCAAGTCTTTTTGTAGTCGATATAGTTATTAAAATGCAAAGAAACCTTTTAAAATAGAGTGCGTTTGCGTTGCAATATAAATACGTAATAATATGTGTTAATAATCTATGTATCTAGTACATTTGTTGAAACAAAACTGAAAAGGTAGCTATGTAACATTACTATACATCCCAAAAAAATTGCTAATAATCACAATTTGTAGAAATCAAGTTGCTAAGTTACTTAGTAATAAGTGAAATTTAGATGTAATATCAAATAAAACTCAAATAAAAGTGTTTTTTTATTTCCCTTCTTAACATAAACTTATACACACTCTTGAGAAATTGCAATAATATTCACTTTTATTAAACTACAATCAATTAATATTTGTCATAGTTAAAAATCTTTAACTGATAATATAATACCCGCATTTGTCACCGTGCATGCAAATAAAAACCCCTCCTTTACTCGTACTTGTAAATATAAAAATCCGTTTACAATAAGCCACCTAACGTAACTTTTTAGTATCATCCAAACTACTCACATACAAAGTTACATTTTAAGTTAAAAGTAGTCTCAAATTGACTGATTTCTTTCTTTCTTATATTTTTACACAGTATTTTTTTATTATTGAGAAGTTTTCTTTTGAAGCATAAAACATCCAAAAGTTGTCTTTTCGTATTACTTACAGAACTTGGCGAAGAGATTTTAATCACCGACATTTGAAATATCTGATACCTTCCAAAAAATGAAACTGTGGAGGAAATTCTAAAGTGCGTTTATAACACACGTTATGCACGAAGTATTTTGTATCTAGAATATATTGTTGACATAATAACGTTAGCTAGGCTCATTAAAATTCATTGCACTGTTTTGTCCGCCATGTTTCTGTGCCACAATGCAGCCAACATAACGAAACTACACGTTTTTGTATTCGAAATTCAAAATTATATTAAGAACATTTATTAGTAGTGACAATGGACACCACATATATTTATTTTTTATTAAAATGGTCCAATAATGAGGGAAATAATCAATATTGTATTTTACCAGAAAGGGGGTTGACTTGAACTATTTATAGATTTACTTGTAAATCTTTAATAGCTGCCTCTTATGGCTCAAACATCATAATAATATGTATGTGTGTATGTATTTAGAAATACATATTCAAGTAAGTTTATCAGCAGTCTGGTTACCGTAGCACAGGCTCTATGTAGTTTCAAGATATGTACCTAAATTATTATGATTTTCTACCACATATAACCAAATAATCAAATGAGAGCAGTGTAGTTTTTTTCAATAAAATTAACATAAATTAATGGATTTTTTATAGCCAAAACCAGCAAGCAAAATCCAAAACATATATAATTGTGAAGTATTTTGTTTCCCACCAGGTGGTATTCCCTCCACCGCCGTGAATTCGCACCGTGGTGGTGGTGGGTATAAAATTGAGGCTTATTTTTCTACTCTATTTAAGATCCAGTTTGAAACAAAAACAAGTTTATCTTAGAAATGACATCCATCAACATCATCATCAACGGCCTTTAATAGTCCACTGCTGGACATATAGGCCTCTTCTTAGATTTTTTTTGGTTTTGGCCTACTATTTTTAAAGCGATTAATTTAAAAAAATACCTGATTTTTCCTGTGGGCACAAGACACAACATATTCATCCGTGGAAAGGAAAGTCCATACCTACAAAAGTTACTACGATTTAAACATATACTGCATACATTACATAAATATCACGTTACAGAACAATTGGAACGTAAACGCAATGTCTGTCGTAATTATACGTAACTTATAAACGTAATCGGTGATAATATCTGATCATATATGAACATCCTTTTACTGCACGGATGGCGTAGTGGTTTAAGTGGTCGCCACGCCGCTTCCTACTACGCCGAGTGTTGTGGGTTCAAACCCCACATGGGACAACACTTTGTGTGATCCACAAATTGTTGTTCTGAGTCTGGGTGTTCTTTGTGTCCGTTTCATGTATGTTTGTAAAGTCCCCCGCGACACAGGAATATGTATTCCTAATGCGGGTGTTGTCTTTTTAAAAAAATATATATATTAGTCAAGGAATTTATGTACACGTATTATATTTTAGTACGTTTGGCTAACGTACTAAAATATTTCCACTAAACCTTATTTCAACCACCCCTTCCCCCTGATAATGGAGGGAGCTCAAAGGAGGGAACTTGTAACTCATCAGTTGCAGGTGTCTATGGACGGCCGTAGTCTATGGTTACCTTTCACCGAATTGTAACTTAGTACTTTAAGTCTGTATATTTATCAGAGCACGCCGTTTGTTGTTGGTGAACCAATACATAAAAACTCATTGTATCGTTTTGATGTGTAACAGTTTTCCTTTGGCTTTCCTGCAATTTATGGGACTGATTACGTTAAAAGGGACGGAAGTATGTAACACGAATACTAAAAAGGTACTCATAACTTTAAAAAAAAATATTGATAGCTACACTTGTGATAGTTTTTTCTTAACTATTAATATTTACACGTCACCTAATTTATACTGTACGTAAATTCAAAACTTAAAATAGTAGGTATAAATTTTTGTGGTCACAAAAATCTGTCTACTGCAGTTTTTTTATAAAGGTGCGCGTGGAAGCCCGCTTGAGCCGTCACCAAACCGAGATTTACGGTGGGTGGTATGTCGATATACGGTGGCCATACCTAATACACCTAAAATCCAAACCGAAGACTAAAACAGTACCATAACCAAAACAAATTATAATATTACTGTTGTAGGTAAAAATCAGATTATTTATTATACAAAAACAATACGTTTCTACCCAACGAACAACGCATTTATTCAAAACATTAAATTTTATAGAAAACAGTGTATTTAAATAAATAAATAAATGTTAAATTAACATTTTAAAAGTGCAATGTGATATGGAGCTGGTTCCCATTCGGATAAACCGTTACACGAGCGTATAGATCGTGATCTATAGATCATGGTGTCGTCATCGCCGCGCGCGCAGGCCCGCTCGCAACACGACGTCGACCCAGAAAGAATAAAGGCCTACTCTGTGAGTATACCAGTTTGTTTACTATCTTGTGCATACGAGTTTCTCTTTGTTACGTAATTTGTAATTGTAACAATAATTATGACTCACTAAGATCCTTTTTAAAATAATAAACTGTATTCTTCGTTCCTTTCTTATCCACCTATTTTTATTTTTAATTTATATGGTATGGTCACATACTTACATACAAACATAAAAATGTATGATATAATAAGTGAACGTCTTGTTTTAAAATACATATGTTATATAAAATATATATAACATTGCAGGCTAAACTCAAAGCTAGCCGTAAAGCTAGCCAAAATAAAGTACTTAGTAGTATTGTTTGCAACAACACCGTTTGGAATAGTGATCTATTTAACACACTCTCGCTGCGCCCACGCAAGCAACGTATACAAGCCTCGTTTGTTTAGTGGTAACCTGTTTCTACGCTTGGCACATTTTACTTGAAGCATTCTACACTTGTAGTTTAGAAACAGTATTTGTATTTATTTGAGTATTAAGCTGCGGACTGCTGCGAAAATCACCTTGGCATTTGTTCTTAAACCTTACGTCTACACAACAATAATAGTATAGTATAATTTATAAATTGCTTATTAAAGTAAAAGGTAGACACAAGATACAGTAAGACGTCAAGTAGTGAGGGGGGAGGGCTGCTCCTTGCGATGGGCAATAATTATAGCTGACCAACATAGAAACACCACCTCAGCTCTCTGCTATTAATAAAAACTTAGTCTGCTTCTCTTAGAAGAAATAAAGTTTCCCCGATTTTGCAACATTCATCATTAATGCTCTTTTTGATCGTAGCGTGATGTTACATACTATCTAACACTAAAAGCATTTTTCAATTCGAACCAGTAATTCCTAAGATTAGCGCGTTCAACCAAACAAAAAACATTTCAGCTTTATATAATTAATAAAGATTAACAGTACTTGTCATAACTTTTTAGTATCATATCGGCAGTTTGTGCATTAATAAATTTATCATCGATATAAAACAGCCATTTTCAAATAAAACAAGTGAAAGATGTGAGCAAAAATCTCGTTATTCTCCTCATAACTTGACGTTTTATCGCTTTGACGTCACTCTTTGAGCCATTTAATCTGTAACGCTTAATTAAAAAGCTATTGGAGCAAAAAGGTTTATTGGTAAGCTTGTTGCGATAGCTTATTTATGTACAACAGGTGTCGCGAATTTGTAACGAGCCTGTAATTCAATAATATCTACACTATTACATAAAGCTTCTTAAGCTAATCTGATTTTAGCTAACAAATATGCTTTTGGAACCTTAGAATTATCGATCTGTTATTGTTGTTATATTTATTCAAAACTTTTTTTTATATATCACACATCTCACACACGGCCGTCTGATCCCAAACTACGCAGAGCCTGTACTATGATAACCAGACTGCTGATAAACATAATTATATATTTTTAAATAATCCGTCTGGCCAGCGTGGTATAGTAGGCCAAAACCTCCTTCCTAAGGAGAGGCCTATGTCCAGCAGTGTTGTTGATATCACCACTGATGAGCCATTGTTCTTTTCGTTATTTCTTATTTACAGTATGAATTTATGTTAGTAGAATACCGATATGTTGACTAATGTGAAAGGCATCTCAATTAGGAGAAAGGATTTTTGGAAGTGTCACCCCTAAGGGGGTAAAGTAAGGGATGAACGGTTTTTTGCAAGTCCGTCGTTTTAAAAGTTAACAACATGAAATGAGAAAAGATCACGCGGGAATAGCCCGCGGGCAAGGGCTAGTGTGAACATAATTTTGTATCTTATCTTGGGACGTATAAGCTCTAATAATCATATATTTTGTAGTCTTTTGAATTTCCATACTTATATTTGAAATGTAATGTGTGTGAAAGTAAGTTTGTTTCTTTGTTACTTTTTCACACCTAAATCATTAAACCGATTTTAGAAATTCTTTCACCGATGGGAATCTACATTATCAGCGAGTAGTTTTTTATGAAAATGTAATTTTAAACTATCTTTAGCGAGATCTATTTTTTAGCAATATGACTGACTACATCCGCCTTTGTTTTCCGGGCTCATTGTAAGTTAAAACCGGTAAATTTTAGCCAAAACATTATTTATTCACAAACATTACCTATTCTATTTCCACCCATATCACTTTGCCAACGGATGTGCGGCTGTAAACCACAATTTTGATCATCACAATATTACAATCCTCTTCAAATAATACATGAACTGTACATTAAGTTCTGTTTGTTTTACTTAATAGGTACCTTCGTAAGTACAATATAAGTTCTGTTGGCATAATTAAAGGGCTTACTGTCATTTTGTGCGTTGACTGTTTTAAGATTTATACCAATACTAGCTTTTGCCCGCGGCTCCGTGCCTTTTGCCTACGTTTTTTTTTAATTTGAAATAATTTTTAAATTTCACTTAATGGTGTAGGCTTGAAGGCGTAACAAACAAACAAAAAAACTCACTTTCACTAGGGGACTCCCCCACCTTTGCACGGGTGCAATGTAGGCGACCGACGTACAGCCCGAAGCGGTGACGGCCGCTTTGCTCCCACATTTAAAAACACTGATATCTTCTAAAATATTTATTTTAATGATAAGCTGTAAAGCAATTTTAATCCACATTAAATGCACAACATATATATAATTGGATAAGGAATAATAATGTGTTGCTTAAAATAGCTTTAGAAATAATCTTTTGTTTTATTTGTAATATTTAAAAGATAAGAATGGTTACCGTCGGTACCTTAGGAGATAGACAAATACCATGGCAGCCTTTTTTGTAGAAATTGTTAAGATATACAATTCCGTTGTACGTATTATTTTGGTCTATCTCGTAAGGATTAGCCAGAGTTTGCAATGTAAGTGCGCAAAACCATGTTTTTTATGACAAAATTATATATAGAAAATCAAAAAAATAAGTTTCTTAGTTTAAAAGATCTAAGCGTACAACAAAAATGCGACTCATTATTTTATACTTTGTAAAGAGCCAAGGTCAGTAGTCACAATCCCTACGGCCAATAAATACACAAGAAACTTAGAAATATTAATAAAACTTAACGGCTTCACCTGTTTTTATACCAAAACAAAATATACCAATAAAAATAATCATAGCGTCAGTTATACAAAAACTCGTACAAGTTTACTACAACTATGACGTCACCATTAGATCGTAAAACCCAACAACCAAAAAGAATGACAGTCTTAATCCTGTGCCTGAAAGAGAGGCGAGATCACAATTAAAGAAAGTAGAAAGAGAAAAAAGGAATTATTATGAAGGCAGTCCACTGACGAATGCAAAAATATCGTATTATCCAAACCGTTTGGCGCGAAATTTTGTGTTACGGAGCTTTGGTCAGAATGGTGGAAATTGATATAATGACGCCATTTGTGACGTAAATAGCTGGCAGGCTGTGTTTGAGGGAATATAGAACAGATGTTTGGTTTAGACGGTTTTGACTTTGGTAGCAAAGTTTGAAAAGTTTCTTAGTCAAAGTAAAATAATTTTTGTTTTAAATAAATCCATCAAGTAGTTTTCAAGTTATTTTAAATTTAACTTTGCCTTGGTAGGACGGAAACGTTCCTAAACTCTGGCGCACCTCTTTAAATATAAATTATTCATTGTCAGATTAGATTTTTAAGTTTCATGTAGTTTGCATGTGTGTTTTTGTCTGTATTACAGCCAGAAATTCTGAGTATTCTTAGCTATTTTCAAAGAAATGCTGTTCAACAAATCGAAGTTCATCAGTTCTTTTCGTTCATCAGATTGGGGAATATCTTAAAATAAAAACGATCGTAAATGGTATTCATATTTAGTAAGGACTGCCTGAGTGTAGTGAGAATTTGAAAAGAGTGAGTGGGTTTAATTCCCGAACCGGGCAAAATTTTATAGGGTTTTTCTGAGAGAAAAAATAGCCCAAGTTACTCCGTATATAGGCTACCTGGTAATAAAATATTATAAAAATCGTTAAAATGGCATGATCACCTCGCCTGGTCGGAGGATCCTCCCTTTGTGCTGGAGGGACATGACACCCATTCCTCCACATTGTTATAACTTTTGTAAGAGTCCCTAAACCAATTTTGATAGATGAATTCCAATATCTAAATCTCGCAGGCAATATGCGTAAACGGAGGCAATTACGTAATCATTTGTTGTACACAAATCTCGAAGCTGACACTTTATACACTTTCTCTATTACATAACCGAACTTACTCAATGTTTGATAAAAACAATGTTTACTTTATGCTTTACGCCAAAATTTATAAGAACTTTTTATTATTGTGACACACTCCATAAACAATTCGTTTATCTCGGTAAATTGGGTGTAATACTAATATAATAATAATTTTCCCGACATGTGACACACAACGCCATCTAGTTTTAAACTAAGCAGAGCTTGTGATATGAAAGCTAGATTGACTGATAGAATATTTAGATACTTTTTTTGTAAATACATACATATGAGACCTAGAAAACACCCAAACTCTATAACAAATATTTGCAGATCATACAAACATTTGGTCCGACCCGGGAATCGAACCCGAGACCTCAGCACATCAGTCTTATACGCGACCACTGCACCACCACTGCATCGAAGCAAAGTAAATGTATGGATAGGGATTATAGATTATAGGATATTGTGTAATGAGGACGATCATTGGTTCTGTGTGGGAGTAATTTATCGGCAGTCTAGTTACCATAGTATGAGCTCTGTCATGTTTAGGATTATACTGCAGGCAAACGAGCATACAGGTCACCTGATAGTAAGTGTGTACCACCGTCCATGGACACCTGCAACTCAAGAGGAGCCCTTTGAACCGAAGAGAGAGGCCTCTGATATGCTCACTCACTCAGTTCAATGCAACGAAATAATTGCTTAGCACTGGTACTCTGGCGCCATGGTATCACTAGTGCCGTGCCGAAGCATGGCTCTTCGAAGAAGTATCTCGAGCAGGATACGTTTACATATCCTTAACTCAAACTAGCTATTGCGAAGAAGACAACATAGTCTTGTATATTACGTGCATATCTTGCTAACAGCCTAACTTTATGGCAGATAATTTCTGTATGAGCAAAGTGAATGACATAAAGGTTACTCCAAACAATTGGTATAATTTTAGAATAAAACGCTAAATGCAGCACATCCAGGCTAATGGGCAATATTAGAAATGGGCGCAAAGTTTCTATTCCGCGATTAAAACTTCGTCTGTGATTCGGACAGCTCAAATTAAACTTAATATTTGAGCGTATTATTATTTATATATTTAATGGAATGATTTAGACGTACGTCGGATCAAAGTTAACGGTTACTTATACAAAATTCTGAAGCTATTTACACGCTTTATATTAGCTTCACTTGTATGTTTGTTTGTATGTTTGTTTGTAACCGACTCCTTTGGGCGTGATTTGGACTGACTTTAAACGGTCAGAATTCGTTCAAACTTTGTAGATATATCGAGGACCGATGACAATACACTAATTAAAAATATATATAAAAAAAATAGGTTTAAAAAACTAAAAAACACGCTTTTTAATTATTATTTTTTCATTTATGTTAATAGGCTTTTATATCTAATGGTATTTCGTTCCACAACTTTTACCGATTGCGGCAGATTGCATTATTTTCAACACATTATTTTCTTGTTTGATGAATCACGTTTCAGTATAAAATACTATCTTGACTAAGTTGTTTCCTTCAGGTTAGTTACTTTTAACATAATCCTTAACCGTCAGGCATTTTCATGTTGTCCACTCTATAAGGCTTTAGATTCTGCACCTCTCACACGGTCTATGATATCCAAACTGCTGATAAACATACTTATTTCTAAATTCATACAAAATAACAACATTCAAAACCTTCAAGAAAAGAGCGTACTCCTTCCTAAAAGGCCGGCAACGCGTTTGTGACTCCTGAGTTGCAGACGTTCATGGGCGGCGATGGTCACTTTCCATCAGGTGACCCGTCTGCTCGTCTGCCTCCTCTAACATAAAAAAAAATAACACACACACATATCAAATTATAATTATCGTTATCATTAGACAATTATTTACACACTCACGAACATACACACACACACACACACATTTCTATTTTCATTTTAATTATTTTTTGTAAGTAAATAATGTTTGTCCTCTTTGTTTTCTCTTTGGTATTGTAATCGTTTTAGTTTGTTCTGTCTCCTATATCCACGCGGAGGGCCTGGTGACCTGTAACACAGGTTTCTTTTTTTAACCTACATCAGGCACCAGTCTTTCACAAATGTGGATTTAAGAAGCTAGCCTAGTACTGTATTATTTTGTTAAGGTATCCATTTGTGAAAAGAGAATAAAATATTATTATTTATCATAGGTTGGAATTAAATCCGCTAGCACTGACATAGCAGTCAGGGTAGCAAACCACCACTTGACCAGCACACTAATCGTATTATAACATCATATAGATTTTCTTGAGGTGCCTTCCTTGGTTTTTCCGTTCTTTAACATAACGAAAAGGTAGACAAATTCAAAACTAAATTCTCGGGACATTTGTCAGCTAAATGTTTCGGAAGTGAACACAAACAATATTTGTTCAGCCCCCTCCTGTAATGGTATTTTGTATCGCGAATTGAGTGCGAAGTTTGATGACGTTACTGCAAAGTTGTGAGTCGGAAGCGGGGGATGTGCTTTTTATTGAATTTACAGTTCAGGAATTGCCACAGAATGGGGTCGTTCAGCTGCCTACTCGTCCGGAAGTTCAATAACTTCCACCGATCATTAGATTTAATCAACTAATTTTATTTTTTTAATCTAATATTGGGGTTCTTCACAGATTAATAATAGAAATCTACGTGTTGTCCAAGACTATTTTATTTTGCATATGTTAACCCCTTCGTGACGTCACCTCTGTGGGCTATGCTATTTGGTGGTAACTCGGAATAGAATAGAATATTACTTATTTCATAAAGCACAGCATACAAAAATAAAACAAATGTTAAAAACAACATACACAAAGAAACTAAAAATCAACTAAGGTTTAATAAAGGCGACATTATTCAACTTCAACTTTTGGTTAATGGCTTTGTGGAACATTTTTCAATGTGTCAATCTTTCAGATCTGACAGAATTGACATGACATGTCAATGTGTCACGTATTCAACGACGCATCTACAAAATTTTACTTATAATAACTATGTTGGTACTTTTCAACTAATACTTATCAACCTGTGTATCATAAAAAACCTTTAATGTTGCTGAGGATTGTACGCCGTGCTTCAGAAAAGAGTTGGACCCTCGGTAAAACCACACGGTGTGCTATTCTGCGCCTAAATAGTAGTTACCCGGAACAGTTCTTATTGAACAACTGATCAACATCATTTGACTGCACGGATGGCGACTACGCCATCCGTGCAGTCAAATGATGTTGATCGGCTAGGTGACCGCTTAAACCACTAGGTTTAAGCGGTCACCTAGCCGATTCATGTTCATGGGTTCGATTCCTACATGGGACATCACTTCGAGTGATCCACAAATAGTTGTTCTGAGTCTGGATGTTCTTTGTGTCCGTTTCATGTATGTTTGTAAAGTTCCCCGCGACACAGGATATATTCCACAATTAAACACATAAACTCATCTAACGCCAGGCCATTTCCTCTGGCCGTGTTTGGTCAAGAGCTATCTGTTATGACGTCATAGCAATATGGCGCTGGTCACCATTGTATGTTAAGCATCAAACTAAATGGTACCATATTGGTTTATCTGTCACGGTTCGTGAATTTTGAATGTCGTTACACTCTTAACAATAGAATTTAACACGCTTGTTTTGGAAATATTACAGATGTAAAAATATAGTATATACTGTACTGTACAGCAATTCTCTCGTTGCTTTCATCCAGCTCGTGAGGTTGTCGGAGCCCAAAAACCAACTCCTAGGGGTTGGCTTTATATCTCTTAGTTGCACGTGTCCATGGGCGGTGGTAGTCACTTACCATCATGTGACCCGCCTGCTCGTTTGCCCCATGCCATAAAAAATATATACCCGTATTAATTTATGCTTACAAATGTATTTTAAACAATGACGTCACTAAACTCCGTACTAAGTTAGCTTGTATAGTATGCCTAATATACTAAATACTAAAAGTTAGTTATACGAGATACTCGTTCAAGAACTACTTACAAAATAAACATGTTAAGGTAGTATGTTAAGGTCAAGGGAATGACCAAGATTGGAAGTGATCTCACAAGTCATTGTAGAAGGTTTTCATGTTATAAAGTTAACTGTATCTCGGAATAAGAATTGTAAAAGGTGCAAAAACACTTCACGCTCTGTAAAGATTGTAAGAATTACCTACACAGAAACAAGTTATATAAAACAGAAAAATTACCTAAGGCAAAAATTATCTTTAGGGACCATTATACGAGTATTTTTAAGATTATGTAGATTTGAAATACTTACAAAGGCGGAAGAAATAGTACCAATATAACTCTATACTCCTTATTGCTACAGATACATATATACACTCGCATGTTTTTCTTCGAAGGCAGAAATATATTAAACGTAACACCATAGACAATAAATTAACTGGATTGTTCTTTCCCCAAGCGTACGGTTAAAATTCTTTATCCTGTTCTAATAATTTAAGTTATAATTATTTAAAACTACGTACTCGATGCTTTAAGCACCTTTTCAATTGACTCACATTTCAGGCGCTCCTTTATTACAACGGATGATTGCTAAGCAATTTATCAACGCTAAAATACGAGATAGATTATCTGTATCTAAATTTCATGATTTAAGTACAAATGTGAAACATAAGAAGGGATAGACATAGTAACCAGTAGCCAACTGATGTTGACAGTTACATGGCAAACAGATAAAAAATTAAAAATAAATTTCTGAAAGTGTGAAAGAAACATTTTTTATTACAAACACTGTGCTATGGATTTTGAGTCTAATTTGAGCAACCGACTTATTAAAGTTCTCTTTACAGGAACAACTCCGTCAACGCAAAGAAGCTGAAGAGAGGATCGCAGCCCAAAATGAATTCCTCCGCACTTCTCTCAGAGGATCCCACAAACTCCAGGCTTTGGAATCCAACCCTCCGTCATCAGGGACTGCCTTTGTTAACGACGCGTATGAAGATGATACGAGTGAAGAGTCCGCCCAGCTGTATGCTGTTATTGGTGAGTAAAATTGCATTTAAAATATCATTTCCTCTTTTGTCCTTGAAAGTCCAGATAGGACTTTCTTATTTTGAGAACCCTGGAGTTCTCATTTATTTCGGATTTGCATTTCCCAATATAAAAAGCTTCCGCAAGTAATCTATTTTAAGCCATTTTTTTTTGCCTTAGAAGTAGTGGCAATTTTTGATAAGTTATTGCGTTCCTATGGTTTATTTGGATGCACAAAATACTACTTTGTAAATAGGTAAATACTATGAAAATATTGCTATTTTTATTACATAAAAAAGTGTCAACTAGTGTGTTTGAGCAAACTGTGTCAACGCCGACAGTTAAAAAAATCACAACATCATCAACATCAACAGCCTATACTAGTCCACTGCTGGACATAGGCCTCTCCTTAGAAAGGAGGTTTTGGCCTACTATACCACGCTGGCCAGACGGGTTGGTATAGGGTTTGTTTCAAGTTTTCCTTCTCTCTGCAGTGCTGTTGTCCTGCTTAGTTTGCTCCCTTAGTCGGCTCTTACGACACCCACGGGATGAATTGGGGTGGTGACAATTTGTATTCTTAATCCGTCACCACACGGAAAAAAAAAATCCTATAACCTTAATTATATGATTCATCATCATCATCATCAACAGCCTTTAATAGTCCACTGCTGGACATCTCTCCTTAGGAATGAGGTTTTGGCCTACTACTATACTATTAATTATATGATTACACTGAATTAATTAGATTTGTTGTCGTATAAATTATAATTATCCACAATAATGTAAGTTTTTAATGAGATATAAGAGTGTTCTAAAGCCATCCATCAGTAAACAAGAATGTAAAAGGCTCAGATCTAAAAATAGCGACAGGAGTTTTTCATTTAGTGTACATAAAACTTCGCCGACGCAAAAATTTAAATATAAATGTCTAGTTAGGCCTAATCATATCATTCTAAAAAAAGCTCCACTTTATATAGCCCTGATATAGTTCTATGGAGATGAGAAACGGGAATGCCGCATTGTTTCCAGTTCAGAAGGCACTCATTCGATCCTCATTCAAGCGATATTAGCTAACTGGGACAAACGACTGCTAAAACATTGTGTCAACTGCACCGGAGAATGGGTCCGAGGCTTTAAGACTCCGTGTTTAGTAAAACTAACTTACCAATTTAATAAAAAATCTTGTTTAGAAAACAGTTTGAAGTGCATAACGAATGATCCTTTTTTATTTGTAGGGTTTTATACTTTATAATGAAAACATTAAACTTCTTTCATCGTTTTCTGTCAGAGATCTCTTACAAATTAATATTGTTACCTAATTTTTAATTCTATTATCGGTTGAAGCCAATATCCAGTTTTAATATCATTGCAATAAAGATATATACATCCCAAAGAAAACAAAACCCGAAAAATACTTACCAAAACGGAGAGAATCCTTTATTCATAATTTCTTTCGTGAAGTAATGTTCCACAGGATAAATAAATCTGAAAATCGTTCTCTTGAAAATATAAGTTTATTCGTCGTATCCAAATTTATATCTTTTCTTGTAACCACTTTTAAAAATAACAGAAATTTAAATAAAATGTGAAATGCCAACCATACAACTAAGCCATGCGATGACTTAGTTTTTCAAAATAATCTTTTTATCGTTTAAAGTTATTGAAATTCCGAGTGAGTCCGCTGTACGACCAGATTCTGCGGCAATCCTTGAACTGGAAGTTCAATAAAAGTACATTCCCCGCTTCCGACTCACAACTTTATAGTAACGTCATCAAACTTCGCACTCGCGATACAAATTACCATTACAAGGCGGGGGGGTTGGACAAATACAATAATATTAATCTTTATTTGGAACAAGAAAACAATATATAATTTAAAGATGTTCGATAACAGCCATATTAGTTAAAAACTACCTCCAGGAAGGAGACGACAGCATCGTTCCATTGATTACAATAAAATTTGGGTTAGTGTTTGTGTGTGGTGTGTGTGAGGTGTGTTTGTGTTTGTGTGTGTGTGTGTGGGTGGGTGTGTGTTTGTGAATGTACGTATTGCGCGAAGAACTTCCTCACCAATATGAAAGTAAGTTTATTAGTAGTTTGGTCATTATAGGCCGTGTGAGACGTGCTGAAGTTATCCTTATAGAGTGGAGGAGATAAAAAATCCTATAATAGTGCAAGAAGACGTTATAAATAAAGAAACTCATGGGACGGACTTAGTGAAGATTGTCTTTTAATACCGAAATGCAACAGAAAAAAAAACATTCGGTATAAAGCAGAAAAAAAATACACAAAGGAAAAGTTGTAAAACGAACAATCTTTAAATATAAAAGCGTATATAAAATCCTTAGTATAAACTAGCTGAGACCCGCGGTGTTACCCGCGTTTGTTGTTATAACCGCGGGCAACGCCGCGGGGTGAAGCTAGTCTAAAAAAAAGTAGCCTGAGTTACTCCTTATGTCATTAGCTATCTGCAAGTGAAAGTCCCGTCGAAATCGTTCCAGCCGTTCCAGAGATTACCTGGAACAAACAGACAGACAGACAAAAATTGTAAAAAATGTTATTTTGGCAAATGTAACTTGTAAACATACATATGCATTTAGTAAAAAGCGGTTATTTTAATATTATAAACACACACTCCAATTTTATTTATTTGTATTTGTATAAAAGATGAAAAATAGCTTCAGAATTTTGTTTAAGTCACCGCTAACTTTGAACCGACGCATGTCAGAAGCAGCCCATTATATACATAAATATTATATACATACATAATACATAAATAAAACGTTGAATATTCAGTTTAATTTGAGCTGTTCATATCACAGACGAAGTTTTAATCGCGGAATAGAAACTTTACGCCCATTTCAGATATTGCCTGTTAGCCTGCATAGCTAGCTTTCATGTCATTCACTTGGCTCATACAGAAATTATCTGCCATAAAGTTAGGCTGTAGACTATCTGCTCATAATTAGTCTTCTTGGCAATACGATGTTTAAAATACTCTAATTGATAGCAGCACATTTTTTTACTTAAGGCGCGTCTATAAATAAAAGAAGTTTTTACAAATACACTTTAAATTCCAGAGACTTGCGTTTACAAGTTTAATTGATTTGAATGTTGTTGCCTAGTAAAAAAAATACACATTCTCCTAATCATGGCCTTTCAGTCATTAAGACACTAACATCTCAGACGTAAACATGGAACTGACAATTACTCTAAATTACTAAACACTTCTACTGGCCAGCGATAGGCTGATGATGATGATGACTAGCTAGTAGAATGAAGCTAGTAGTAATATTATCAAAATACGTCCAGCCGTTTTGAAGATTACCCGGAACAAACAGACAGACAAAAAATATTTTAACTGGTTTTAGGCATAAGTATCGTGCAAATAACCGTCTGAGCATGAAAATAACCTATTATTTTGATATTACAAACAGACACTTCAATTTATTTATTTGTGCATGTATGGATTATCAGTATTACCATTACGTTATAGGTATGTTGTATGTATGACACAATGGATTCAGTTTTGTAATTTCAATTTCAATCAAATTGAACGGACGATTTCTTAGTATGTTTTTTGCTGATTCTATGTTTTGCGAATATAATGCATTCTCTTTAATACTGCTAAATTGGTGCATCCGTTTAGTAGTTACGATGTGATAGATATATGTATGTATGTGATATATGTATGTGTTAAAATCACTATTATATTTTTGGCTAAAGAATTTAATTACTTTATCTTTCATCATCATCAACATTTATTAGTCTATATCTTCTTAGGCCTCTCCCAAGGTTCGTTACAACAACCAGTCCTGTGCTGCCCGCATCCAATGGCTTTTACCAGGTCGTCGGATCCATAATAGTCCACATGCTTAATTTTTATTGTGCCTTTTTCTGGTTGAATGTAAATGTCAATGCCAGTCACGAACTCTGTTAAATTATGAAACGTATTACTAATCCGATGAGAACTGAAGAATAAAATTTAAAAGCCCTTGTTAAAAATACCATGTATACTTAAATTACTCCAATAGTGATACAACTTCGAGAATAAAACAAGTCATGTCTCCTGTTCCAGACTATCAAGAAGTATGTGCAGCGCTGACGCGCGTGCAGAAGGCGCTTGGTGCGAGCGGGGAGGCTGCGCTGGCGGCGCGGGTGGCGGGCGCGGCGGGCGCCTTGTTGTGTCCCGCGTTGCGCACGGCACTAGCCACGCGCTCCGCAGTGCTCACCGCCCTGCGTCACAAGCGCCCCGGCCTGGCGCCGCCGCACACGCACCGAGCTACCGATAGACTGAAAGACGTAAGTGTACTCAGAAAGCCACACATAAATGCAGTTTTGTATTGTGATATGTACGAAAGCACCACTGCTGAAGAGAAACAGACCTCTCTTAGAAAGGAGGTTTCGGGCTCGCTGTCCAAACGGGTTGGTACAAGGTTTGTGTCAAGGTTTCCTTCTCTTTGCAATGCTCTTGTCCTGCGTAGTTTGCTCCCTTAGTTGGCTCTTACGAAACCCACGGGATGAATAGGGGTGGTGACACTCCGTATTCTTAATCCGTCACCACACGAATATCTTTTTTAAATTCTCAATATTGTTGTTGTTTTTCCCAGAACTCTTTAGAAAAGGTTTTTACAATACTAGCTAAAGTCATCGGTACTCTTTTTTTCTACAGTGCATGGACGTACTAGGAGCACACACATCAACAGGTGGTGAAACGTCAGGGTTGGCAGCGGAATTACTGTCGATACTGGGTGGACTTGAACTAGAGAGTCTCATTCAGGCACACGACCAGGCTGCGGCACTACTAGACCCTGCCTGCTTCAGTAGGGGCAAGAGGCATAAGGTTAGTTATCTTGCAATTGTGCGCTATTCTAGTCAATTTTACTTCAGTTTGAAACATAAAGGAATAAACAAGAAACAGAGGAATATTATTGCCAAACAAAATTTGTTCAAGATAACTATATGCAAGATATGCTAAAAGTTATCGAAATGTTTTAGATAGCCCGTCGTTGTGTAAAGCACCAATTTAAAGTTTCCTTTCTCAAGTTACTCGTAATGACGATCGTTCTCAACAGGCATGGCGTTTTTATTGTAGTCATTTATTTAGATTACCGTCATCGAATTTATGATCTACTTCATTTAACTAGAATTTGAAGCATAAATAAATGGCAACATACGTCGAACGGTAGTAGTGAAACATTTAATGACACTATCTGTAACTTTGTTAAATAAATTTAATTAATTATTTATACTTTTTCAGACTGGCAATAATTACAATCACAAAGGCGAAGATGATAAAGCGCTAACGGCGCACTCACCCGACGACCCCAGCGAACACATCAAAATTATCAAAATCGAAAAGACTAACGAACCCCTTGGTACGTAATCAACTTATTTCAAATGTTAAACATTTATTTCATCACATCACATCAACAGCCTTTAATAGTCCACTGCTAGACAGGCCTCTCCTTAGAAAGGAGGTTTTGGCCTACTATACCGCACTGGCCAGACGGGTTGGTATAGGGTTTGTGTCAAGTTTTCCTTCTCTCTGCAGTGCTGTGGTTCTGCGTAGTTTTTTCCCTTAGTCGGCTCTTACCACACCCACGGGATGAATAGGGGTGGTGACACTGTATTCTTAATCTGTCACCAAATTTATTTACTGTTAACATATTCTTATTTCGCAAAATGAATATCTATTGCAGGTGCTACGGTAAGAAACGAAGGTGAAGCCGTGATTATTGGTAGGATAGTAAGAGGAGGAGCCGCCGAGAAGTCAGGTTTATTACACGAAGGTGATGAGGTTAGTGTCAATTTTTACCTATTCGACCAGCGATATATGGAGTCACATCAGATATACTTCATAAGGATAAGAAATGGTAAAATGTGGATCGTTATCTCATCTTTTCAGCTTCTAGAAGTGAACGGTGTTGCGATGCGAGGCAAGTCAGTGCACGAGGTGTGCCAGGTGCTGGGCGCGCTGTCGGGCACGCTGTGCGTGGTGCTGGCGCCGCGCCGCGCCGCGCCGCGCGCGCCCCCCACGCACCGCGTGCTGCACGTGCGCGCGCACTTCGACTACGACCCCGAGGACGACGTCTACATTCCTTGTCGGGAGCTCGGTATGGACTTACTTACTCACATTTAAACAAAATCATAGGAAACTAAATTTCAAATTAATAGGCAGCTTTTGATACGTAATTCCAAAACTTGTGTTGACCTAATTTGTTGAAAAAATATTTCATCCTTCTTTTAATGTAATTAATTTTTCGTAACCAGTAGAACATCATTTCTGGTTAATAATTTGTACACGTCATAATTAAAATTAAATTTAAAATTAAAAGGAGTCCTTCAAGGATCTATCTTAGGACCGCAATATTTAAACCTAAATTTCGTTTACAGGTATTAGTTTCCAGAAAGGTGACGTGTTACATGTGATCAGCCGTGAGGACCCCAACTGGTGGCAAGCGTTCCGCGAAGGAGAGGAGGATCAAACTCTCGCTGGACTTATACCTAGTCAGGCCTTCCAGCATCAGTTAGTATTACTTAAAGATGAACACATTTTATTGTAGTTTTTTCAAATTCGGTAACTGACTGAGAAATTATTTATCTTTTGTTCACGGTTTCTATCCATGTCAATATAAACTCTGACAAGTAATGCACCATTCGTCGAAACAGCTTTTTAGGGATGACAGGAACCTATAGTCTCGTCTAATGTTGGCTAGTCCACTTTAGAACTCTTGTCAGTGTGTATTTAAAAATCCATAATGTTCGCTTGAGTTTGTATTAGTTATATGTTGAACGGCACTGATTACTTCGATTTTAATATTAACAACAGGTTTCTCAACAGTATCATCATAAGCTTAATTAGCACCATCAATATCACTATGAGTTCCATTCAAATACTTAAAATGTTTGTCTTTGTTAAATTCCAGGAGAGAATCAATGAAGCTAACATTAGCCGGTGAAGTAGCCGCAAGAGATAAGCCGCGGAAAGGCGGCACGTTGTTGTGTGCGAAGAAACCGCCTCGCAAAAAGAAAGGCAAAAAGGCCACCAGCGAAGCCGGATACCCGTTGTACTCCACGTCCGGAGCGGATGGTGAGTCATCCGTGATAGCAACTATTATACTAGGTATTATTTATTCAAAATTACTATGGTACTGGGGTATACTTAAAATTAAGGCCTGCAGTGCTTTTGGTTGGTAAGAATTTGCACATTTAATCAAAAACGCTATTGGTGGTATTCATTAAAATATTCAGTTCTGGTCAGGTGTGGGTTTCTCTTAGGGGTTCTAGATCATTGGCTATTCAGTATATTGCCTGATATTAATAGCACACTTGGCTTCGACTCTTGAGGGTCTCAGGTCCGGTTCCCAACTAGTTTAGCATGTAATAGCACTATTCACAGAATCCTTTTACAATTGGTGAAATTTTCCGTTAATTTTTGAGCTGCTTTATGAGTAAATATATTTTTATGAGTAACTGAAATACTATTTAGGGTTCTGCTGTGCTTCTTATCTTTGCTTTGGTTGCAGATCAACAAAAGTGTTGATATCTGAATTTATTAATATTGTATATATAGTTTCCTACACATAAGTTTATGATTACAAATCGAATTGTGTAAATATGCATTTGATATTAATCTACATAAATATTTTTAAATTGCTTTTTTCATACCGATAGTATTATGTCCTTCAGATGTAAATTAACCTTATGAAAATAACGATGCAGATAACTAAAAAGTTTTTAGTTGTAACAAAACATGAGATTATATATTTGCTATGCGATTTCTTTTAGTGTTTAGATATTTTACATAATGAAAAGTGACTGCATGTTTTGCTCTTCATTATTTAGCGTCGTCAAGTACACTATGAGGAGGTAAATATCCAAGATGCCAATGTCGAGAGATGTGGTTTCAGAATACGAGCAGGAGGAGATCCTGACGTACGAGGAGGTGGGTCTGTACTACCCGCGCGCGTCGCACAAGCGGCCCATCGTGCTGATCGGTCCGCCCAACATCGGGCGGCACGAGCTGCGCCAGCGCCTGATGGAGGACAGCTCGCGCTTCGCCGCCGCCGTACCACGTCAGTACCTTACCTTGCATTATGTCTTTTGCGGATACATACTTCCATAAATTTTAGAACATTTTCATTGATTTAAAGGCTTAAAACGACAAATTAAGTTTCTTTTTTTTTTCTAAAAAATGCATTGAAATAGGTCTCCTATGTTGGAATTACTTTTTTTCTTAATTCATCAAAAAATCTTATATATTTTTTTTAATAATATTCAACTTACCAATTTCGCAGTTCAATTTTGTTTTCTCTTTTAATTAAATTTTTACAATGCTATATTTTAATGGATAGAAATATGATACTAAGTGGGTCCAGTGTGACTTAACGTTATTTTAAATGCTTAATACTCCTGTATTCACAATTATTAAATTCGCAATAAAAACATACACATTTGCTAACTTTGAAAGTAACTTACTATAATAAAAAATCATTTGTTCCAAATTATTAACCATTCTTCATTCGTTCATTCATTCTTTCGTTCATCAGTGGTTCTTTACATTATTTTAAAACTGTTGCATGCACGTTGCAGACACGTCTCGGCCGCGCAAGGATCACGAGGTGCCGGGACAAGACTACCACTTTATATCCCGCACGCAGTTCGAGGCTGATATCCTAAACAGAAAGTTTGTTGAACATGGCGAATATGAGAAAGCTTATTATGGTAAGTTCCTTAGTCCTCCTATCTTGTTATTCAGCCTTTAGGCACCCATTGTTGGGTATAGGCCTTTTTTTGAGCATGCCAAGGCAGCATCCACCCAAAATTGAAATGATTATTGCTTACTGAAAAATAATAATTCCAGGTACATCCTTAGAAGCAATTCGCGAGGTGGTGAACTCGGGTAAGATTTGCGTGCTGAACTTGCACCCGCAGTCGCTGAAGATCCTCCGCAACTCCGACCTCAAGCCCTACACCGTGTTCGTGGCGCCGCCTAGCCTTGAGAAACTCCGCCAAAAGAAAATAAGGAATGCGGAAGCTTTCAAGGTAATGTCTACTTCTTCCATTAATTTTTGTTTCTCTTAGCATTATGGAGTACTTGAAACATGGCACTTGCAAAATTGTAAAGATTGCACTACAACGTTATATCTGGGAGACTAAAAAGCATCGTCCCAAATGTGTATGTTAATAGTTAGCAGTATAGCTTATACGAATATTGTTTACTTATGTTATGAATCAATAAGATGGTACGTTGCAGTATTAAAATTCATATTTTCAAATAATATAATAATTATACCTCGCACATCTCACACACGGCGGTCTGATCTCAAATTAGGCATAGTCTCTGCTATATTTATTTTTAATAAATTCATATTATAGATAAATTACACCCAGATACAGAACAAATGATCGTGCTCATCGCACAATATTTGTCCTGGGTGGGAATCGAACACAAGTCCTTCGGCTTAGCAATCAGTCACTAACCACTATACCAACAAGCCGTCATTCAAATTATAATGTCGGAAAACCCTTTTTGAAGTTAACGACAATTGTAAAACAGGTATAGTCCATTCGCGTTAAGAAAATAGTGACGTATCCAGTGATACAGCCCTGCCCCCTCACCAATTTACCCCCAAATAAGTTTACAAAAAATTATGAAGTCAAGTTCACATTGTCGAGTTGACTGTAGACGTTCATACGAAACGAATGCCTTCTTTAAGTGTAACATTCAATAAAAAAAAATGAATATTCGTAAGAAGAAAAGTGTGTCAATGATTCGTAGTCAAAAGGACGAGTTTACAATGTTTTTAAGTACTTTCACTTAAATGTTACTGTGCAGTCATAAACGGCGAGTACTTGTGGCGTTTTGTGGCGTTAAAATCTATTAAGGAACAGAAGGAAACTAACACATTAATCGCCTGGGAAAAAAGAGTTTGACTATCAACGGTTGATAAAGTATATAAAAAAAACATTCCAGGCACCATAAAGCTTAGTTAACTTTTGTTTTATATCCACAGTCAGTCAGCAGATGTTTTTTATTTTATTTAAAAAAACATTTATATTCAGGTAAACTTAAATCTATAAAAATATAAATTGTTGTACAGATGTAAATTGTTCAAAGTGTTACTCCACCTTAAATACACCTATACCGTCTTTACGTCACTATTTTCTTAACGCGATATGGGCAATAGATGCTAACGTCAATCCCGTAAACTTATAATTTAGATACGTTTCGTTATCCAAAATAACATAATTTTTTCCGTGTTTGCAGGAGGAAGAGTTAAAAGAGATAATCGCGACGGCGCGCGACATGGAGCTGCGCTGGGGGCACCTGTTCGACATGATCATCATCAACAACGACACGCAGCGCGCCTACCAGCAGCTGCCTCAACGAGATCAACAGCCTCGAGCGCGAGCCGCAGTGGGTGCCGGCGCACTGGCTCAAGCACACCTAGCGCCCCCCGCGCCCCCCCCGCCCCTCGCGCCCCTCGCGCCCCTCGCGCCCCCCGCCCCACGCGCCGCGCCGCCCCGAGAGGTTGACGATAGCGAGTCGGCCCGAGCTCCTGCTGTTGTTCGATATTATTACGCGAATGGTTTTACATTTGCTTTTCTACTTCCTAAACGTTTGCGACGTCAAAAGAATCGGTAGATCGAGAACGGGCTCGAGAGTGCTCGGTAGCGATAGAGCGTTACGCGTCGACGCGAGCGTGTCGTCGGATCGAAACGACGTAGAAAATATAGAATTTAGAAATGTGTTCCCGAAAACTTGTTCAGTTAAAGAGCGTGAATATTTCAAACGAAACGAGAAACCGTTATCGTGACTCTATCTCGATGCGACGACCGAATCGATTTCGGTGCGTCGATTGTATTTTTACTCGTTTCCGACATCACTTTAGTTTAGAAATTATGAATTTATTTGGAAAATATTGTAAGTGTTACAGTGAGGTGCAAATAACTTATGAAGATGAGCGTAGAGGTGGTGTTATGAAATCAAAATGAGAGAAATTATATAGTATTTATTCATTAAAATGGATAGACCACAATTGGTACGTTTTTATCTATTATTATCGATAGGCCGTCACTATGCAACAATATACTGGCAATAAATTCACTATCGTCTGATGATCGTTAGGGTTATATAATATTCGGACGTAATTTCGTAGAGATTTCAATAAAATTGTGGAGTTTTATAATCTATAAAAATAATAGGGATTTCTTTTTAAATTTTAACAAAATATACTGCCTTATTCGTGGATGTTACATTTTAAACTTCTAAGTAATTGTTTTGTTAAAATTAGAAACGAAGAAAAAGTTGAAACTGTCTTTGTTTCTTATTTTAATGACATTTAGAAATAGTTATTATAATAAAAACCCCAAGAGTCAGTCATTAAATCCTTCGGTAGTTTAGATATTTATATATAAAATCGAAAGAATACTTTAAATATTTTGTCCTGACTGACTCAGCAACGCACGCCCCAAACCTTTTAAACCTATATATGAGTGTATTTAAATGCCAATAAAAGTATTAAATAAAATACACTTTCAATAAAATTTATACTTATATTTACCGCTTGGTCTTATGGTTATTTTCTACCAATAATTATAAACTTGTTTTTATATTGGCAACATTGTAAAAGAAGTTGACAGTTAAAACGTATGAATAATAACGCAAAATACTATGTGCTATAACTACATTCCAGGGACATTGAATAAATACAATTCTTTTAACAGTATTAATAATCTATTTAAACACATTGTCAAATTCAAAAGACTGTCCGATTAAAAACCTTTTCATATTTATTGTTCTTTGTTGCAATCCTTAGATTATATATAATATGATTTACATTCAAAAAGCGTGTATTACTAGTTCAAATAAATAAAAAGGATGACCATTTTCCAAATGGTTGACCTCTACAAAATTGCTGCTATCATCAACAATAATGCGATGGAATTTATAGTTTGCCATAAAATAAATAAATAAAAAAAATTAAATACGATGATAAAACAATAAAATATTTCTCTATTGCCAAATTTATACGGTAGTATTAAAAAAAATAGAATTTTTTGAAAAATTTCTCCTGTAGACTTCTTGTGGAATTCTCTTTAAGAAAATGACTCGATAGTAGCAAGTTAATAGATCCAATAAAACTCAAATTAACACTGCTATTATAGTGAGTAGAAAAGCAATATTTTATATCCATATAATCAAATTTACCTACTGTACAACGACATATCTGTTTTTTATAGTATACCTATTTCAATTAATATTTTCCGCCAATTTTTTTATTTTTTTGGCAAGTATACCTGTTTAAATGTACCTTTAGAAAAAAAGTCGCTCGTGTTTACAGCATAAAGCGATAACAAATCGTGCATCGTATTGTAACCAGAAAATATTAATTCATTTATTGAAATAACACTTCAGAGGTAGACTACACTTATGATTTTATTTCCAAAATAAAAATGAATTACTATTAGTACAATGTGTTAATAAGTCGTTATACTGGAAGGATTTTACCCAGGACAATAAATATCATAAGATATATTCGAAAAGAATGGTGATTTTACCAACGATACTTTAAATAATATCCACAAATATAATATAGATTTATTGTTAGTGTTAGAAGATGGTCACTTCGCAATAAATACAAACCAGGTACAAATTTTTAATACATAATTTTTACAATTTAACAGTATTAATATTGTCTGGTTACGAAGTTATTTTGAAGCAGCGATGTAGTTCATTGCACCAAAAGATTTTTATGTAACAATAAATTTAAACGTTCTGATTTAAATTAGTTTTGTATTTGTATATCTTTGTAGATAGACATATGCATTCCAAATAATTTAGTGCCAAATATATAAGGCCACGATGACTGTGGGTTTAATATTCATTTTTTAACGTAATCACAATTTTTAAATGTTATTTTATCTGTATGTTGTAGGTATTCATTACCACTTACATGTTATGTGTACTGAGTTTGAGACGTTTGTGTCATAAAGTTTTGAATTTGTGAAAATATATTTCATTAGTTGTGTAAGTTATTGCGTAATTTAATAAAATAAATCATTTGTAACCTGTGGAGGTGCTAAAATTTGTAAACTATCATTTGTTTCTTTTTTCATAATTCTGTGTATTTTTAAGTTATTGTTCATTTAGTGTGATCATGAATAATGTTTGAAGAGGACATAGGTATTACAATTTTTAAGATCAGAGAACAATTATTCAGAGATTATTCACTTTCACACTATGAAATTGTGGATTTGTCGAACTTCACAGTATTGATATTATCTTATTTATAAATAGCCATGTATATAATTTATTAACAACGGAGGAAATGATAAAAATATTATAAATAAATAACATGTTAATAGTGAACAATTTATTGTAAATAATAGAATACCTATTAAATTTAATATCAGATAAGAACGTTTGTTTTATTTTGTTTTTCTTTTGAGATAATGAGTAATAATAATAATGAATACCGGTTATAGTGTACAATAAACGGTATTCATTATTATTATTACACACAACGATACACGTTGTCATAAAAAAACATACACAAAATGCACAATGTGCGGCCTTATCGCAAGAAGCGATGTCTTTTTGGATAGTATAATGCGAGTAGCATAAACGCCTCACTAAGATTAATTTATTAAAGAATGGAGACGTGACGCCAGCTAATCTGAAGGTAAAAAATTGTGCTTTTGTACAGATTTCAAGGAACGTGTCTCATAGACTTTGGTAACGCCTTCAATACTGTTGCCTGCGACGTTCTCTTTGCCATACTGTACTCTCTTAACATATCTCTATTAGCTATTGACTGGTTTCGTAGTTAGCTGTTTGTCCATCGACAGCGTATCCGTCCGAATGACAACTACTCCACTTGATAGAATACCTTCACTGGTATGCTACAGGGTAGCGTTTTATCTCCCACATTATTTTTAATATTTTAATTTGATTCACTAATCGAATTCTGTCTACCTACCACCTGTACGCAAACGTTTTGTAAAGTTACTATTAAACTAATCTTAATGAGCTGCTATTAGTTGGAAGAGCCATATTACGGCACAAATGGGCCGGCTCGACCGGAGTGATACTACGGTCTCACAGAAAAACGGTGCTAAGCAGTTCTTTCGTTGCTTTTCACCGGGTGAGTGAGCGTACCGGAGCCTCTACGAACAGAGGGCCTAGTGTGAGTGTATTTCATATCAAACTAGTTCTCGACGGGGAGCAAATTCGGTGTTGCGATTGGTAAAGATTTTATTGCGGACCAATCTCTACGCCGAACGCGATCACAATAAATAAACTCACACTAGGCTCTCAGGCGAAAACGGTGTTTTATATGCGTCTGAACCTACGCCTTATGAAGTTTTACTTACTGATCTCTGTAATAACTATGCATTAAAAAAATGTATGTGTATGATTATGTTTTTGTGGTATATAAACGTATCTTGTAATGTGCACTACAAACTACATACTGCTGTACAGTATAGTTTGTCTAATGGTTGACCCTTAGCGTAAGAGCCTCACGTTGCACTACCTTTTTCCTTGATTCTATAGTGTATGGTTTCTGGTGTGCAGTAAATAATACCTATCTATCTATCTGATGAGACAAAAAAAACATTTTTTTTTAATTCCCACAATTTTTAATGGGAAGACGAAGCCTATTGGTAAGTAGTAAAGAAATCTTAATTCGTTTGTTTCAAATACTCCTTCTGTAATGTTACTTTTTGCATACAAAGGTACTATCAATGGACAATATACAGGAGTAGAACTCCAGTTAAGGCTGTAAGTGAATTTTGGTAATAGGAGATGGTGCTTTAGCGTCGGAGAAGCCACGCCAATCTCACAGAAACCCAAGTAGACCATTGTTAAATTCCATTCTACTAGAGAAAAACTTTAATTCTACACAAAGTCGGCTTAGGCTGAGACAAAATATTTTTACTTGAATTGTAATTACCTACCTGAATGTGAGAAGATTTCTGCCTTATAGATTTCTGTGATGCAGACTATAGGAAGGGCCTCTAGGGGCTCTCCAAATAAATTAATGAAATATTTGTATTGTAAATTAATTCAAAGTGATCAGTAGAAAATTTTGCCAACTGAACAAACTTAAAAGCTAAAAAGTAAGCTTATATATAAGTAGCAATGAAAATGAAATATAATTGTATTAAGGTCTTCCTCCTGATGATTCCGCTACGTTGCATTAATTTGAAGATTGTTTTTTTTTTTTAAAAGACACCTATCGTACTCGAAATATTTATCCTGTGTCGCGGGGGACTTTACAAACATACATGGAAACGGACACAAAGAACACCCAGACTCAGAACAACGATTTGTAGATCACACAAACTTTGCTACTATTCAAAAGTTTATGCTACATTAACTTTAGAATAAATGTTTACACCGACCGGCCCTCCGACTTGACCAGTTTAAGCAGGCAAACGCTTAAATGAAAGAGCTCATTCTAGCTAGTATTACTATACTAAAACGAACCACGTACCTAAGTCAGAACCAGAGATATAAAAGTGTGATTTTCACTGGCCCATGACAAATATATGAATTTATTCATTCAAAACAAAATATGTGCACAAAAACTATTTAGGCAAATAAGCAAAACGAAAAAGCAGATCCGAATATATTTAACTTTAACTAGTTATTTTAATACGTGTACACAAGTATCCATCGAGTTTTTGTTTTTTCACAAGAAGTGTAAAACATAGAAAACTATAAAATATTTTAACAATCGTTTTTAAAAGAGTCACATTAAACTTCTAAACGGCTGGCAAAATACTAAAACCTTGACGTTGACATTTCTGACGTAAATGAAAGTGACAATTAAAGTGACGGCCTACTTTTGAAAGGGAGCGAAAATCAACAAACATTATTTAATTTAGCTTGTAAACGTAGTAAAATTACAGGAATTTATAAATCTGTTAAAATGCCGTCAATGAAAGTGGAGGGTGACAGTGATGGGGACGGTGATATGTCTGGGGGTGAAACAGAGCGTTCCAATGGGTCATCTCGAGGACCTGACAGGGATTCCAGTGCTGAGGAAGCTGATGAGCCTGATTCTGATGATTCTTCGGAGATGGACGAGAGCGAGTGTGAGCGGCGGAGGAACGACTGCCTTGAAAATCTGTGTTAGTACCATACATTTTGAGGTTATGTTTACAAAACATTGCAATCATAGTTGTTTTTGTATTTGTTATAAATTTTATCTTAAATCTCTGCCTGCGTAGTAGTAATTAAATAATTTCGTTTAAAGTAGCTTTCTATGAGAGCATATTATTTGGACTTTTCCCATCCCAATTCAGAACTTTCTCTATTTGTTCTTATCTTAAGCCATACATAGAACCATACTGGAAATAATGTTACCAAAAATCTAATCAGATTAAATTTATTTTATTATGATATATATTTTTCATTGCATATGTTATTCAGGACAACAAGTAATGAGATATCTTTTATTAAGTATAAAACTAAATTACATTTAACATAACATAAGTTTACTATATATTCATCTTGCATGAGCAAGTTTAGTATGTGCAAGTACGGGCCGTGGCCTGCCAGGCATGATCATCCTTTGTGTTGGAGGGACATAACCCGTTCCACCACAAAAACCCTATATCAACCCGTCTGGCCAGCGTGGTATAGCAGGCCAAAACCTCCTTTCTAACGAGAGGCCTATGTCCAGCAGTGGACTAGGAAAGGCTGTTGATGTGAAGTGTAGTGCTGGCACTGTATCAACTTTTTAAGTAGTTGAAAGTATGGCAAAACTTAAATATACATAAAATGCTTCCACATTACATCACATTCATCATGAGTTCTATTTTCCATTATTTGTTACTGTATTAGTACAGGAATAGTGTAGTAGAACACCCATTAGTATAGAATGACCGACATCCACATGTTGCACAAACTCTGTAGTAAAGTTTTGCAGAATTTTACAGCACCTCCCACTTAAGTCATTTCATAAACAAATGTTTTTGTTAGTCAGTAACCAGTACCATAAATTATATCAGGGGTTCCTTCATCATTTAGCATAATAAGATACTCAATAAAACCCTATAATCTTATAGTACTGCAGCTAGTCTTTTTGTGGTCTAGAGGGAGTGGAGCAGTAAGATTAAATTAAGTACTTAAGTATACAAGATTTGCATGATAGTTTCATGAGCAAGTCTTGGATAGCTCAAGTCATAATCAGGGCCATATAATTCTTATTCTTATATGCTTTTGTGCTATTTCAAAATAAATTTTGTTTTATGGATTTATAGGTAATTTTTCCATGGTACACTTAGGTACAGCAGTCCAATGATAGACCCGAAATATTTTTCTATTTATTACTATGGTGTGATGTTGTAACTAGCTATTTACTTACAGTTACAGTCAAATCACTTACATTTAATGTTGATTTCAAGATATCAAAATAATGAAAACATTAAATAGAAAATGTAGGACAAATTAGGCTTTAAGATGTTAGATTTAATGATTCAGTCAAAGTAATTTATTATAATTCTAGGAATTTAACTTTTAATATTTACTGCACTGATGGTGTAGTGGTTTAAGCAATCACCTCACCGCTTCCTACTGCACTGAATGTTGTCTGTTCAATCCCCACACAGGACAACACTTTGTGTGATCCACAAATTGTTGTTCTGAGTCTGGATGTTCTTTGTGTCCGTTTCATGTGTGTCTGTAAAGTCCTCAGCAACAGCATGTATTCCTAGTGCAGGCGTTGTCTTTTTTAATTAAAAAGAAATCATTAAAATGCAAAAAAATTAAGTCAATTTCTCAATCGTTTACAATGTCAATCACTTACAAGGACATGCTTACTAACACTTATACTGTGATCCAGATTTAAGTTATATATGTTTCTTGTGATTAATTTTTTTATCTGAGGCTATTCAATGGTTATGCTGGAACAAAAATTATATACAGTTCCTTCCATATTATTATTGTGACATGACTGTAATTTCTTCTAAAAATCTTCTTTCATATGAATTAATCTGAAATGTCTCTCACTTCCAGCAAACCTAGAGCGTCAGTTCAGCGTTCTCCGCGAACAGTTGTATCACGAGAGAGTGAAGCAGGTAGACCATCAGCTCGCAGAAGTACGGTGCGGAAGATCTCAGGAGTATGTGGGGCCGTTGCGGAGGCTGCAGGAGAATATGAGGATCAGGTAAGAAATTATATTCATCTTCTTTACGTAGTATAAAATGAAGTCGCTTTCCGTTCCTGTACGCTTAGATGTTTCAAACTAGGCAAAGGATTTTAATGCGGTTTTCATCAGTTGATGGAGAGTGATTCAAGAGGAATCTGTGTGGAGGATTATGTGTTTAATACATGCTTATTATAGTAGAGAAAATCCGAGAATTTCAAAGATTGTGATGTCGTTTGATAATTTATGTGTCATCGATGTATATTGCATCCCTGCGAAGCCGGGACGAGTGGCTTGTGCATTATATTATGAAATAGGAGCCATTATTATTATTTTTTATTTTACGTGTGGAAACCCCTTCTGGGTTTGCGGCGGGGTGGTGTGTCGGAATCGGACCGACTAAAACCACACGGTGTGCAACTCCGTAATATGAGGGATCCGGGAACTGCTGTTATTAAGACATCCGGACCCCTCCTAGCGCCTGCCCGCAATTGAGCGGGCACCACCTTCGGGTACATTCTCTATTTAGGTGACGTCACTTTCTCGCGGCTGGCCATTATGGCGGGTGGAGGGGAAAACCGTTCCGTCCACACGCAGCCACACTCAGGGCGCCATTACCAAGGCTAAGCTTCACTGGTATATTATTTATTAAAATAAAGAGCATAATAGCTTTTTACATACTTGGCAACAAATGAACAACTCCCCCCTTAGAGCAAGCTTCTATTGGTTACACTGATCATCTTCTTTAACATACTCTGTTTGTCAATTTGCCACTGTAGTGGTATTATAAAACAATCGGACAATTCTCATAGCTTACTAAGCTAAACTGTCGTAATTTTCCCCCCAAAAGTTTAAGAATATTATTTATTTCTTAAAAAATATATGTTAACAACCTGATTCCCGCAAAATGGAGTACATGACTTTAAAGTCTCATGTTTCTGCACTCAGGATCGAAGTGGCCGGTATCTTAAAGCAGATGCGAATAGAGAACATCAAACACAAATACGAGGCGGAGGAGCAGGCAGCACACCAACATTTCAAGGTAGGATTAACTTTAAGCAATGATGAAGGCGGGGACAGATCATAACTTCCACTATTCTTGTCGATTGTATACAATATATTGATATAAAGTACCATGGTTATTTTCACTTAATAAGTTATTATGTCGTGAGAGAGCTCTGCTTCGGCATATGATTCAGGCTCGACAAGTGATTCCATGGCCTCACAGAAAACTGGTGTTAAGCATTCTGGCATTGTCTTTCACTGGGTGAGAGAGGCTACCGGAGCCCAAACCCTCCCCTGCCCCTGAGGGATGGGATGAGGAGCTGATAGGGAGGCAACGCACTTGAAACTCTTGAATTGCAGGTGTCCATGGGCGGTAGTCACTTACCATCAGGTGACCCGTCTGCTCGTTTGCTACCATATACCATAAAAAAACGGGCATTATAACGCGCGTCGTAAACGAACTAGAAAGAGGGTAGACAGATTTTTCAGTTCGTAAGAAAAAACCTTCCACCCGCAGTTACTAAGTTCATTAGTGATCATGGCTTTTGCAACAGTGCCGAAATATCGGAAACTAATTCCCAAAAATAAACACGGTAAATATCTCGCTCATAATAACATCAAATGATTCTATACAAGTTTTGAATCTAACACCTTATAATTATAGTTTAAATTTGCGTAGTCAATATCCCCTATGTAGATGTTGTAACTGTAGTTTAGAAAACCTCAGAAGATACCCACAGTGTTATGAACTTTTATTTTAAGGAACACAAACTATGTTTTGTACAATAATGTCTTAAGTCACTAATATGCTTAATGTTTTAAGCTAGTATGTGATACGACCTTCAAGAATACAGCTTACTCCGTCCTAAAAGGCCGGGAACGCGTTTGTGACTCCTTAGTTGCAGACGACGTCACCATCCATCAGGACGTAAAAAAAAACTTACAAATATAATGTGTCCACAGCTTCTGCCATTTTAACTACCTTAAGAGATAAAACAATTCATATTATTTCGATCATTAATAACTTTTAACACCTTCTTAAGTTTACATTTTATTCAAATTCTTTAAGCACAGACATTCTCTTTCCTCAATTTGTTATGAAATATTGAATTTTTCGACGTATTCACGTAAACTACATGAAAGAGGCGTTGATGTCGAATAACGGTTTTATGAATAGCGGTCCGAGCCCTTAAACTTAAACAAGTTTAAACCCCTTTTTTACAGTCATAGTGCCATTACCTTAAACAAGGGGCATTAACACTCACGCGACTTATGTGTGACTCCTCTTCCAGAATAGGATTGAGATCCTGAGGTCGTTTTTACCACATTGAAAGAGATATGAAATGAAATGCGACTAAGGATATCGAAGGAGCAAACCTCCCCCCTAATTCTTGAACACTTCTTGGTGGCAACACGCTTGTATCCCTTGAGTTGCTGGCGTCCATTGGCGAACGTAGTCACTTACTATAACGTGACCCGTTTGCTCGCTTTGCCCTGTTATATGAGAAAAAAAACTCACAGACATGCATAGTGTATTCCAGTAGTGTGTGAGGCCGTGTGTGGTGACGGATTAAGAATACGGAGTGTCACCAGGCCTATTCATCCCGTGGGTGTCGTAAACCCGACTAAGGGAGCAAACTACGCAGGACAATACCACTGCAAAGAGAAGGAAAACCTGACACAAACCCGTCTTGCCAGAGTGGGGTAGTATGCCAAAACCTCCTTTCTAAGGAGAGGCCAATGTCCAGCAGTAGACTATTAAAGGCTGTTGATGGTGATGATTATGTGACGTGGTCAGATTTGATTCAGAGTAATAATACTATCCACAAACAATAAGACCTGTCCAGCCCTCTACTGGACTGAATCTCTTGAGTAATGATGACCTCTACGGCTCGGTGGTTTTATATGTTAGATAATATTTGTATGTGTTTACAAAACAAATACCAAGTAGGTCAAAACCTCCTTTCTAAGGAGAGGCCAATGTCCAGCACTGGACTATTAAAGGCTGTTGATGATGATGAGATGTTTATCCGTGAGTTAGAAGCTGTAGTATAAGCTTAGTTTAGTTTAAGTCTACATAGGGATATGCGAAATATTATTAAATAGACAAGAAGAAAGTGTCTATACTTTTTAGAATCGATGATTAAACATACAAGTCTCTATCTCGGTACACAGGCGTATTAAAACGTCCACTTCGTGCCGACTGTAAGTTTTAGTTCTAAGCTTATTTAATTGCCGTCATATATATATATTTTATTAATGGCAACTCCCGCACTATATCCTGTGTTGCTTAGGACGTTACAAACATACATGAAACGGACACAAAGATCACCCAGACTCAGAACGAGAATTTGTGGATCACACAAAGTGTCGCACCATGAGGGGATCGAACCCAGAACACTCAGCGTAGAAGGAAGCGCCGTGGCTACCGCCTAATCCACTACGCCATCCGTGCAATCACTAATACAGATAAATTACACCCACATAAAACAAATGATCTTTCTCATAACACAATATTTGTACCGGTTGGTAATCAAACACTCGATCTTTTGCTTAATAGTCAGGTTTGATAACAGCCAGACCACCAGGCCTGTCATCTGCCTAGCAAAAAAAAAATCTCAAGCTGTTTCGACGACTGGATGGCGTAGTGTTTGTGCAACGGACTGCTATTCCAAAGATCGCGGGTTCGATTCCCGCTCAAGTCAAACATTTGTGTGCATGAACATTTGATGTTTGATTTGGTCTGGGTGTTTCTATGTATAATATGTATGTATTTACAAAAAAAAAGTATATACGTATTTATATCAGTTGTCCAGTACCCATAGTACAAGCTCTGCTTAGTTTGGGACTAGATGGCGTTGTGTGTATGTGGTAGAATATATATTTTTATATATTTTGTACCAATAGATATGTTTACCTTGATGGGTAAGTACTATATTGAGATGTACTGTAGTATATAAAATTATTTAAATCCTTAACAAAGATTCGATTATTTCTCCGATCCGCCATGGTTGTCTAACTTATAATATTGTTCTTTACAAACCAAAAACTCGCTACAAATAAATATACTTCATAATTGATCACACGCAGTACTCATAAATAATTTAGGTGAATATACCTAGAGGTTACATGCGAAATCTAAAACATGTCTTATCGCTAGGTGAGAGAGACTATTTACATAGATTTTATTCGGCTATCTTTTCTGGAAGGCGGCTATCATTCCTTCTTTTAATTCTTCACTATTCTGAACCATGGTTTCTTTCAGATATGTAATTCACCGTTATTAATTATCCTGAAATAATAAATAATTTAAATCAAGAACCCTGACCCGATATGGGTCCTTTTTCAAGGAGCAAAACAAAGTGCTCGACAGTACATAGTGATAGTACATACTCACGAGAGCTTTTTTTCTAAAGTCAGTTTTTTTTAAATACCTAGTTGTTAATCCCTAAGTATTTCGTACAACGTAGGGATTTTTTGTTTCCTGGCATATAGACTAAGGTGATGTAAAAACAATGTAAGTTTATTTAATACTAGATAAAACGCTCCTTACAAGTAAATTCACGTTCCAAGTTGCAAACTCCAAATACGCTCGTGAACATAATAATTAATATTCAATGCTAATAATATGTTTGTTAATCAGTTAACGTAATACGTGCTTTTATTTTACGTTTGCAAAATTTTCAGAAAATTATCCAGGGAAAGTTGTAAGTAAACTTAAACAGATGTCGCTATTCTCAATAACTTTCCAACTACCAAGTTATGTTTAACCGCACCGCTAGATGTCGCTAGTAGTTATAAATTTATGTAATGACCATTTATGTACTGAAAATATTTTATCGGTATCCAGTCCTTTAACAAGTTTTATGTGTATTACTATGATAATATGTAAAAATGCAAGTTTTATGATCTTTTTGTTACCTATTAAAATATGGTGATTTGAAATAATATATTTTATTTAAATTAGTGTCACGTATCCTTCAAATCGGATTTTCTTATCTGCTTGTTATCACGCAAAGAAATTATGAACACAAATTCATTTACTTGGTGTCACAAATCCCATGAGATTTCATCTCCATGCGTGACGTAACACTTCCCATAAAAGACTTCAACGCAATACGCACTCTGTTCCACTTCAGACTTACTACTGAGTATTTTTAATCTAAATATATAACATTGTTAAGTTGGTTTGTGTACGCTTCAAAAACTCAAAAAGTTCTTAACCAATTGAGCTCAAATTTTGACACATTTCAAAGATGTTTCTATCCAATTTTCGCGTCAGTTTTGTTCGTTTCTCATCACTGCGACTTCAATGTGCCACAGCTAAGCGTGACAGGGTTCATCTAGTTATCTATAATCATAGATTTTTCTTCATCGTTTTCCCGCCATTTTCTCAATAAATGTGTAATATTTACTACAGGTTACGGCTAGTTTCTTTTATGGCCAGGCCCGCCTATATGACGGCTGCGTTCCTTTTGAATCGTTTTTGGACGGGACAGTGAAATTAGGTAAATTAGTTTAAAAAAAATGGTTGGGATGAGGCAGCTAGGGTAAAGGATATAGTAAGTCTCGGATGGGTAAACGAAACTGAAAATGCAGTAGCTCGAAGAGACCAGGGTCCAAAGCGGTATGTCCGTCTTCGGACTCTTCGGTCACAGCACGGACATACGGATGTCTCCACGTCGCTATACTCTAGCTAATATAATTATAGATTGAATCATATATATTTAATAAATCCATACTTCCATACTTATATGACAAATGTAAAAGTGAGTTCGGTTGTTTGTTACGCTTTCACGCCTAAATTGTTAAACCGATTTTACAAATTCTTTCACCAATGGAAAGCAATATTATCAGAGAGTAACAGGCTACTTTTTACCGCGATAACCGATAAACACGCGGGCGGAGCCTCGGTCAAAATCTAGTGTATAGTATTTGAAATACAATACAAATATGTTTGTTTTGTATTTGTATTTATTTATTAAATATTTAATATGTAAAAATACGATACGACCTCCAAATCTTCAAGAAAACAGCACAGCCTTAACGGCCTACAGCGGCCTTCAGGTGACCCTGCTATTG